TGTGAGTAGAAGAAAGGAAAAGCTTGTCTTAATTTGAAAGAGGTTTTGTTGATTTCATAAAGTCCACTAATTTGTATTAAGTATCTTTAGCGTGTTAGCTTGTTCAGTAGTGATAACCTGTCTACTCATTTGCTGTTACTTCAGTAAGGAGGAGGTATTCCTTTTTGGAGGAAAAATTAGGATGAGAGAGCCATGAGAAGCTTGAGGTGGGTTTGTTTTTTGGTTGGGTTTTGTTGTTTTTTTTTGCTATTTTTAGCTGAGAATGGGTTTATTTATGTTGGAATAATGTAAACTTAAAAGTAATGGTACCAGCATACATCAAATTTAGATAGGATGTCAATCACAGGGTGTGAAATATGACTTAAAATACTGATTCAGAGACTTAACATGTAAATAACGGGTAGAACAAACTTGCTTTCCTTTAGCTAGATGAGTGCTGCTTCCAGTTAAAGGAGCATATGCTTCTGCTACTGGGAACAGAGAACCTCAGCTGTACTGCATGTTACGGGAAAACTAACAGGTCCCTTGGGAACCAGAAGGCTTAGAATAAATGCACTTTAGCCATTGGCATTGCTTGGCCTTCAGAAGTGCCAGAAATCTTTTGCCTGAGTATTTGATAGAGAAGCCAGCTTAGCTGTGTCTATCCTCAGGACTGTAAATGGTGGGGTATGGAATGGTGGATGTGTTCTAGTTTATTTAGGTCAGATAATATCAGGATCTTGGTGAGTTGTTGCTTTGCATGCTTTTTTTTTGTTTGTTTTTACTGCCTGCTCTTGCATTCAGTTTTTTCCTTTTAGATGCTGACAGGGAGTTAGTGTTTTGTGGTGTTTGTTTTTAAACTAGTTGCAGTTAATATTTTATATTTTTATCACTTAACCTTCAATAGCTGACCTCAGGTCATCCTTCTTTCTTGACTGTTCTTAAGAAAGATTTGCTGTTTCCTTTTGAATGGGAGTGGGATTCATCAATGAAAACTTCCCAAAAGCATCAGCCCAGAAATTATACCGTGTTATCTTTTGTTCTGTCTTTTGTTGAACTGTGTTGTATTTAAAAAAAAAAAAAAAAAAAAAAAAAAAAATTGCTGGAGACAAAGACCTCTTTGTGTTCTGTCTTCAAAGTGCAAAGCATGTTACCTGTATGTAGTAAAAATGGAGTGTAGTCTTTGAAAATTACAGCTGAAGTAGCAACTGAGTTGTAGAATACAAAACACTTTTAACAAATAGTTGTTTTCTACCCTTGTTCTGAGAATTCAAATTATGAAATATGATAACTTTTGAATTAGCTGCTTGGTGTTTTCCTGCCTTTGCATTGTAACAGACAGGAGTTCTGCACTGCCACTAGCATAAGCTTTTCTAGTGAATTTAGGGCACAACATAGGTGAGGCAGAACTTGAAGTTGTGGGAATGGAATAAACAACTGCCATGACCTTCTGTTTTTCTATCAGCCCTTTGTCAGAAGTCACTATATCTGTAGCCAAGTAGTCAGAAGGGAATGTTGAATGCTGTGTTTTGGCCAGCTGGTGAAAAGCTTTCTTCATTAGCAGCTGACCAGTCAGATGTAAAAACACTTACTCCTTCTGTTGAACCTGATGATGATAGTCACTTAAAGGATAGTATAGACTGAGGCAAAAGGCATTTAAAATCACTGCAGGTTTTTCAAGAAGACAAATATTGAAACTCAAATTCTCAAATAGTTCGCATGACTTTTTTTATCAGACTTTAGAAGTGAAGTGAATCTCTCTTAATGGCTTATTTGTAAGTACCTACTTGGGTGGTGCAAACCAGATTTTGACACCAGGAATGCCTCGTGTAATTACAGGGGACTCGGGATGTATTACACAAGGAAGTCAATAACAAAACATAGTTCAGAGAAGGTGAAATTGCTCTGTTTCAGAATTAGGACAACAAATGCAGTTAATAAGGAAGCTGTTGCAAAATGTTTTTACTCTGTATAATTGAGGGTGATCTGAGAACATGGGCAAAACTGTTTCTTTCACTGTTCTAGCATTCCTGTATGATTCAAAATAGAAAATACCAGTTGTTAAGTATCAGTCTCTTGTCCCATCTTTCCTCCCCAAAAATGCTGAACCCTAATGAGCTTAAAATTTGTAGCCAATTAAGGCAGTTAACCCTTAAGAAAAGGAGATGGTAGAACTCTGGCATTTCTATAGCCGATAATTTCAGTAATACTTTTCATCTTCAAAATACTGAATTTTGATTTGTTTTTTTAAAAAGCTGCTAAAAGTACATCTGGAATCATATTTACAATTTCTATTATTTGGAGCATAGGACAGGTCCTGCGTTCTTTCGTGTGCCACTCCTTTAACAGCTGCCTCTTGAGGTTTCCCTTTATTAGCACCTGATGCTGAGTTGGCTTTGGTGTCTCTTATTTGTGCTACCACTGCCTAAAGGTCTGCAGGTGCCTTTGCTTCCTTAGTAGTAACTCAGAAAAAGAAAGGAATGTTTACTCCTTTTTGGATGGCTTTGTAGTGACTTTACCCTCATTAGTCACGCAGTAGAGATGGCTGCTACCTGTACAATGTTCTTTTGACCCCAGTTCTAATACTTCTGAATGAAAACCATCAAACCTTGCAGTTTGTAGGTTTGGGGATATGGTTTCAGCTTTCTTTATTAAAATTAGGGGTGTACATGTGGTTTGGGGTGAGTAGAGGGTCCAGATGACTATTTGAGTGGCCCAATATAACTCAATATAACTCAATATAACTGAGAAAATGAGAAGTAAAATCTGATCTATTGGAATTGCTAAATATACCCAAAGCTGTTATGTGACCATAGAAACTTAATGCTTTTATTTTAGCTTTGCATTCTGTAGAAAGGAAAAGGCAGATAAAATTAAATGAAGACTTCTATTTTTTCTGAACAGCATTTGAGGAGATTATTTTTCCCCCAGTCTTTCTAAATGGGTAGGAAGAGGCACAGCTTGAGAGAAGCTGCAGATGGAGAATAAAGATGGCACCTTCACTATTATGATTACAAAAACAAGGCTGCAAGTCAGGCAGCTTTCAAAGTGAAGATTTCTTTTCCGAAATAAACTTCCTCTGTGAAATATGCAGTACAGTAAATATTGTGCATGTTTCAGGTGTGTTAAACGTGACACTTCTACCATCCTGTTAGCTATTTAGAGCTCATTTTAAGGTATCTAGCTCCATGCTAGAATTAACGTCCTTAGCATATGGCTGGGAAATTTTGCAAGAGGAAGAAACCTGAGGTCAAGCTTAGTGCTCACTGATGTAACTTTTGAAGTATCAGCATTTGAAGTCTGTCTTCATGCTTTCCCCATTTACACAATGTTTGTTTTGTTTTTCTCAAGTGATTTGGAATGAGACAATTCGTTTTTCCTTTAGAATGGCTGTAGGCTTACTTAAGGATTTTTGGGGGAGTGTTTTTTGTTTTTGTATATGTGTGTATGTTCCCCTTTGTGTGTTAGTTAAGTGATCACTGGATGACAGGGTATCACTATTCTCCCCAGTTGGAAATCCTCACCATTGGATAATGGTCACTGTGTTTAGCCCTTGCCTTGCAAGATGAAGCTCAGTTTGTGGATGCTAACTCAAGGACTACTTTTTCTAAAAGGCTCCATGGAGGGAAAAAAAAAAAATTCCTTGTAAAGAAATAATGCTGGAGTAAAGCTGCTTAAGGGAATCTATTTCAAGCCTTCCTAAGATGAATGTATAAAGAATTTTAGTCACATGCAAAGCATATGATACCTTGCTGTGTGGCTAAGCAACTGGAGCCAGAAATTTGGTCAGTCATATGATGGATACACAACTTTAGTTTAGGAGTGCTTTATTCTGTTGTACTGTATTCTCAAGTATGTTGAACCATCATGAGATGAAAATTACTTTCTCTTCTAGCTTTGAACATGCTATAAGAGTTTCCAAAGGCATGTTGATCTCCTAGTGTGGGAGGAAGTACTTTAATGATGATACTGTGCTGCAGGGTGCTTCAGAAGTACCTCTAAGATAGATTTATGAAATCACATCTTCCACTCTGGAGCTTTTAGTTCTCTGTGTTCAACAGCATCAAATAATATTCCTCATTGATGTAGCTGTATGTGATTGGAATTTCTTGGCTTGAGATACACTTGTCACATAATTCTGAGCTTCCAGCCAAAATGTTCTAACCAGCAGTGAAGAATGTAATGTTCTATTAGCATTTTATGTTCCTTTTTGCTGAAGCACTTTAATAGTTTGTATAATGCAGCAGGCAGAGACAAAGCTGCCTGTCTAGGAGTTTGTAGTCTAGATGATGAGTGACAGAACTTCCAAGGGATTTACTTGCTTTGCTTGCCAGCAGTGATTTGTGCAGCTAATTTGGCTTGCAGTAGATGTCTGAAAGAAAATTGGAAAGCAAAAAAAATTGATACGTTTCTGCAGTTAATATAACTGATTTAAATGTCTAAGAATTTCAGTTTTTGGCTTTGCATTTAAACTTCAAGAAATAGGGTAGTGCTTAGCCTACTGACAGTACTGAGTCTGTTCCACTATGTGAATTGTGCATGTTCTTACTGTTAAGATGCTTAGGGGTGGTAGAACTGATTTTCATTTACTTAGGTGCAGTGAGTATATTAAAGACATGTATTGATGTATTAAAACACGGAAGGGTGTCTTACAGCCTACACTGAAGCTTCAAAGCAAACTTGTTTTTGCAATCCAAAGGCTCCTCAAGATATTTATCTGGGTCCACTGTGGTAATAAGATAGATACACCTAGGCCACAGTGTTACTCTTCTCTTTGTTGCAAGCATTTTGAGATGCTAGGTTATTGCTTTTTTTGTGTGTGCTCATGTCTGTGTGTTCATAGTGCCCCTTTAAACAGACTCTTTCACTCTTTAGCATTAATGTAGGCTTTCCCTTTAATTTCATAAACTCAGGTCTGTGTATGTGTATTGCTGATTTATTTTTTTTCTCATTATGACAGACCTGCTGCTTTTTGTGTGATTCTCTTCTTTGAATTCTAAGCACCTTTTATTTTCTAACAGTTCTTCTGTTGGAAGTGCATTGCCTCGGAGACGTTGCTGTGCATATATTACAATTGGAATGATTTGCATCTTCATTGGAGTTGGGTTAACTGTGAGTGATGTGCTATTTTTGTACTTAAAATGGCATTTGGGGCTATGCATGTACAAAAGAGCTCCTTTCATTGACCAGCTCTTTTATTCCCAGCATTTGAACAAAATTGCTTCAATTTGTGTATTGTTGTCAACTCTATTGTAACTATGGACATAATTATCTGAGTTAGCAAGAAAAATGTTCCTAAAAGATCTTCTGGCACTGTGAGATTCTCCATTTCCTGATCTTATATATGTCTTTTATCTTTCTGTGGGGGGGGAAAAAAAAGGCTTCATTTTAGAAATACTGGGGCATCTTGCTCTTGCTATAGCTCTCAAAACTTTCAGGTTTCTAGAAATACATACTGTGGCATAGCCAGAAGTGTAAGCCTCACTGCAGTGGAGGGGAACAGGATTCAAAAGAGTTGGTACTTGTACAAATTATAAAGGAATGTACACCTTCTTATTCTGCCTTGAAGAACAGATATTGCTGTGTTTGACACTTCTTGTTGTTTCTTTTTTTTTTTTCAGGTTGGTACACAAGATTTTGCCAGGCGATTTCATGCCACCTATGTTTCTTGGGCTATTGCTTATCTCTTAGGTTTAATCTGCCTCATTCGAGCCTGCTACTGGGGAGCTATAAAAGTCAGTTATCCAGAGCACAGTTTTGCATAGAGAAATTGTTAGATTATAGCAGATGCTCATCTATTAATTCTGGATATTACATCTTGGACACTTTTAAAACCTTTCCTGTAAGGATTCCATTCTGTTCAAAGTAGTTCTAAGACTGGAGGTCTCTAAGAACAAATGTTCATTGCACTACATAATATGCAAATAGTTTGTTTTGCTGCTAGATTCCCTAGCTCTGAATACTAAAGCTGTGTTTACATGTTCATAACTCTTGTCTTTATAGGTGTTGAATTTGATTTCAACAGACAGTATTAAGTTTTACATTTCTTTCGTTATGTTAAAATTCGTTTGCCATTTTTCTAGATGATCAGTAAGAATTCAAAAGCAAGAGTGTTTATAAGTGTTTCTACAGTAGCTTCACATTTGTACTTAACATTTTAACTACAATTATGTTCAAAGTGGCTTGCTTTAAAACCTAAGCAATAAGCATTTTGCTTGAACTGCTTACTGTATCTTTTGCCTAAGATCATAGTGACCTTACTGGGGAAATGAAAGTTACAAGTGTACTTCAAAAGACTGACACTGTTGATAGAGACATTTGTAAACACTGTATGCTTTGAGATTTTCAGGTAAAGAGATGCTATTTTGGTAGTTTAAATAAATTTCCACTTAGTCAGGATTGGATTTCAGTTAGGGTAAATGCTTTCTTCTCATGGATCCTGGGACTTGGGTGTTTTTTGTTTTACTTTTACTTGGCAGATTCTAAAAGCCATGCTCGGATTATGGAACTTAACTCTGGTTATTTGTGCAAGTTCCTTTACAGGGTCTAAGGGAAGCATTTCATATGACCTGTTTAGAAATACTTCACTGTCATGTAGGTGACTGTAAGGTGGTGATGGGTTGCCTCCTACTTTCCTTTGATCATGTCAGATTTTTCCTGTTCGGGAAAGTTGAGCACTGGTCGTTGCAAAGGGAGACACTGTAAATTCACATGTAAATTCATATTAACTGCTGTAGTAAGAAAATGGGTAAACTTGGATCATTCCATCAGAGTACATCTAGTCAATTGAGCACTCGTAATAAGAGAATACGGAAACAGAACGCTTTTCCTAATGATGTATTCACAAAGGATTGAGGGACCAGTTCTTGCACTGCCCATCTTTATAGTTTTAAACAAATTTTTGCTAAATTCAGAAGGAATGTCCTGAGTGATTTAGACTGTAGTGATTTAGATAATGGGGTTGGATGGGTAAATTAATGTGGATGTTTCAGGGATACATGTAATTTAAATTATCTATGTTCCTCCTAGGACATAATGATATTCAGATAAGGATTTTGGAGCACAATAAATGTAAATGATCAAACTGTAAATGATCTGTCTTTGTATGATGCTAAATGTATAAAGCAGTAGCTCAGGATTACAATGTACCTTTTACAAATAAACTAATAAAGAAATAAAGATTATTATTCAAACATAATGTATTTTTTTTTTAATATATAAGTACGAATACAGAAGTGGAAGAAGAATTCATTAATATGATAGGTGCTGTGCATTTATGGTGAGCTCTGCCTTTTTTGCTGAACGGAAGCCTCAGGAACATAAAAGAACAAGAACAAATTGCTGTTTTCCTGACATTTTGGGAAGAATGCAGAGAGAATAAATACCAGCTGGGACCACTGCTGGGATTGCGTTCTCTTCTGAATGACTGATTGAGAGGAATACAGCAATGTAGTCTGTTTTCTTAATGCTGTTAATATCCCTCCATGGTAGGTGATCATTGTCGTCCTTTGCGTCTTAAACCTTCAAACACTTTTTCTAGTTGTCTTGTATTTCAAAATAATGTCTGCCCTAAACATCTTGAAAAAGAGTCAGTGGAAGCTGCATTGAAAATCATCCACTGCTTTTGTATCCTAAGAGAAGGAAAAAAAGGAAGCCTGACTAATGAAATAATTGATGAGAACTTAAGAAAAATTATGGCATTTTAAACATGCAAGAAAGTTTGTACAGAACTGTAGAAGGAAATCTACCAAGAACTGGAATAGATGTGGTGACTTGTGAAGCAGGTTCATTTGCAGAAAGTCCTTGTGTTCTGTGCCAGGCAACGTTTCAATCCCTTAAGCTTTCACTAAGCTTTAAATTAAAAAAACAAGCAGATCTGTCCTGTGCATACTGACTACTAGAAGAATTTTGAGATTTATTATTAGTTTTTTAGATCACTAGTTTCTTTTGTTGGCTTTTAATGATCTTTTCCTTGATCACTGTACTGCATTGGGTGGGGGAAGGAACTGTCTGAACTCAGGATTAAGGACTCCTGTGCTTTCAGGCCTTATCTTTCCCCTTTCTAAATCTCTTCCCCTCCTCACTGAAGAGATTTATGTGAGAGAGATGGAGTGTTGCTGACTAAAAACTGTTCAGACCTTAACTCTTTATTTTTTAATCATGAACCTACTGGTGAATGTCTTTTTTTTTTTTTTTCTTGTATCCCTTATAGATTGCAGTATGTTTCATTTTAAGTGCTGTCCTCTGCTTTTTCTGAAGTTATGGTTGGTTATCAGAAGATCATTGCAATGAGCAGCATGTTGAAAGGAGACAGAGGTTTCAATTCAGCCAGAAATTCATCATGAAGTACATAAAGAAGGTGTTGAAATATCCTCGGAACCATTTGTTGAAATGTTGAAAAATAGAATATGAGCAATATTTGTTTTTTTTCTGCTCTTTCAGGTAGTGTATGTTTTCACAAGGCAGCAGCTTAATATCAAATGTTAGAAAATCCCTGTAACTCAAAACGTGGACTTGAATAATAATTAGGTGAGCAGCAGCAAAAATGACTTGTCATGTTAGATCAATCTAAATGTCTTTTAAGATATGGTGCAAATGAAGCACAGAATGCAACATGTCCTCTAATGGTTAGCAAAGTCTCTAAAAACACTTTTCAAGTGTTTTCCTAAGCAAGCTTGTGAAACACAGCAGTAAAATTATTCAAAGATTGTTAAACGGGGGGGGGGGGGGGGGGGGGGGGAGGGGGTGTTTGCCACTTGTGTTTTTAAAGTATGCATTTCATGCCTAAGTGGTAAAAAAAAAAAAAAAAAAAAAAAAAACTGATAAAAACTCAGAGCAAGCTGAAAGGGTGGATTTCAAGTCAAATTCTTAAATTGAGGGCAATATGCAATGAAATAAAATCAATTGCTATCTTCCATAGCTTGTAGCTAGGAAGAAATGCTAATATATCCCAAAACATCTGCACTAGTTAATATGTCAGTAGGATGGGGATGGTGGCTAGAAGATGAAACAGTCTTTGCTTTTCTGCTCTATGGGGAGAGTCCTCACTGAACTTCTGTGTGCAGCTTTGGTTGATGCATTTCAGGTAAGGTATTGACTGATTACTTCCACATGAAAACTGGAATGAGTAACTTGAGATGTCCAAAGCTTGACGTGCAGAACAGGCTGAAAGAACTAACAAGGACATATTTAAATAAAGAAAAGGCTGCAAAAAATAACCAGAGAATAAGAAGTAGATATCAAAAAAACATGACATAGGTTGCAGAGATTTAGGTTAGGTGGGAACTTCAGGCAAAACTTTGTTAGAGTAAGGAAAAATAAAAATGCTGTATTGATGTAGTCATAAAATTAGAACGTCTCTCAGGAATAGGACAGATGTATTTAGATGTACCAAGAGAGAGAAAAAAAAAACACAGCCTTGTTCCCTATAATACTGATTCTAAGGTACTTCTGTTAGTTTCTGATACCTCGTCCTCTGACTGTAAGTTTTGATATAATTATTAGATTAATTTTTAGATGCATTAAGGATTACTGGAGATTTTTTTTCCCATTAGACCATCATGAAAACAAAACACATTTGAACAAGACACTGAGATCTGGAATTGAATTCCAAAAGGTAGGACTGATGTGGTGCCTTCCTTGCTGCGTATAGTATTTTCCTCTGTGGAGGTCTTTGCTGTATTGTTTCTCTAACACTGAAACAGTATTTTCCCCTTAAATAATGTCAGGAGATAAATAAAAAGCAATAAAGCCTGAACTCTAATGTTCATAAACCATCTTTTCCAGAGGTATTGAAGGTCACCAAGGAATTCATGGTGTGATTTCTGCAAGAAAAAATGTGCAGATCAGAGGATGATGAGTTATGATTTTACTTGGTTTCCATTAACCTGTTTTTCTGTTTTGGGGGGATAAGAGGTTTTATTATTTTTTTTGCCTCTTTCTCACTCTTCATGCCTTCCCCCTCCCCCCCAAAAAAAGAAAAGAAATCTGAGGTAGAGTTGCAAAACTTCAAGCTTGTTTTGCTGTTTCTGTATTTTGAGACCAGAAAAAAAAGTTAAGGTTGGTCTTAACAGCTCAGCAGCATTGTCATAATATCTAAAACCTTTTGATTATTTCAAGCAGAGAAGAAGCAGAGCACATGAAAGAGTGCTGCTGAGGGCTAGGCTGGTGAAGCATTTTGCCTTCTGGACCAGGTCATAGACAGGCATCAGAAGGCAACGCTCAGGGGAAGCGGTCGGGGTGCGACTTCAGTCTATGCAAGGTAACACTAGGAAAAAAAATACTTGTATGGAAACAAGCTCTATCAGTTCTCATTTCTGGCATGAGTTGACTTTTTTTCAAGTCAAGTTTCAAGCACATCATGTATCTCTTTCTGCTTACTTTCCCTCTGTGATTTTGGTTCACAATTGCAAGGATTGGTGTTCCTATTTCAAAAATGAAAACATGAAGATGCAGAATTGCTTAGCTCTTAGCTCAAATTGCTTAGCTCTTAGCAGTAGAAAATTGCAATCCTAACGCTTTTGCAAGCTGGATGCTCACAGCATGCATGTTTCTCTTATTAGCAAGGTTTCTTTTCTTTATGGTGAAGTTAAGAATACGTTTGTTGTAGTAGCCATGTCAGCTTCAAGTATTCCACTTGTTCAGCTTCCCACTAGCTTCTGTCACCCTACCATGCTCCAGCAGCAGTGCTGTGCTGCAAGGATATCAGGGAGAAAGCCTGGTAGAAAGTAACTTCAGAGCTGCCTCATTGGTTCAGATTTCCTTCTGTGATTTTTGCCTGTACAGTTGATGTTTGTCAGATTGCGTGGAGATGGAGGAACAAAAGGCTGAAGGTCAAGAAGAAGAGGAATTTAATCCAGTTGGAGTCATTTGCAGGACTTGGTTACAGTTATCTGAGCCAAGGAGAAAGATACCTAAATTCACTTTCTTAAAGCTTTAATCACAAAGAAGCTTTTCTTTTAGAACAGTGCAGCTACTTGTTAGCCTGAGGAGCTAGCAGCTCATCTTCTAGGCTCCCCTGGAAGCTGAGTGGAAAGTTCTGAGAGGAGGGATCCCTGTATCACTTTCTCTGATCTTACATTCAGTTGTAGGCATTTAGTGTTGGCTGCTTTTGGAAAAAGGACTTTGAGCTAAACAGACAGAATTGCAGAATCACCAAGGTTGAAAAAGACTTCCAAGATCACACTATCCAACTGTCCACCTACCACTAGAATTTCCCGACTAAACCATGTCCCTTAGTACAACATCTAAATGTTTATTGCACACATGCAGGGATGGTGACTCCACTGCCTCTGTGGGCAGCCTGTTCCGGTGTCTGACCATTCTTTCAGAGAAGAAATTTTTCCTGACATCCACCCTGAATCTCCCCTGGTGCAACTTGAGGCTGTTCCCTCTAGTCCTGTTGCCGGTTACATGGGAGAAGGGGTGACACCCTACCATAACTTCCTTTCAGACAGTTGTAGAGAACGGTAAGGTCTGCCCTGAGTCTCCTCCAAGCTGAACAATCCCAGCTCCCTCAGCTGCTCCCCATAAAACTGCTCCAGACACACTTCAGGCCCTGATCTCTTTGTTGTACTGAGGGGCCCAAAACTGAACACAGGACTCAAGGTGTGGCCTCAGCAGTGCTGAGTAAAGCAGGACTATCTATCCTCTGTATTGAGTTTCCTTGCTCCTGCTGGCAATGCTATTTCTGGTGAAAGACAGGATACCATTGGCTGCCTTCTTCTGCCCACTTGGGCACACTGATAGCTCACGTTCAGATGGGCCTGCCCTAGGTCTGTTTCTTCTACAAAATCTTCCAGCCATTTTGCCCTAAGCCTGTAGTGTTGCCTGGAGTTGTTGTGGCCAAAGTGCAGGAGCTGGCACTCAGTCTTGTTGAACTTCATCCCACTGGTCTCAGCCAAGCTATCCAGTCTGACCAGTACCTACCTACCCTCAGGCAGATCGACATTTCCTGCCAGCTTGGTGTCATCTGCGAACTTACTGAGGGTGCACTCAACGCCCTCATCCAGGTCACCCATAGAGATATTGAAGAGGACAGGCCCCAGCACCGACCCCTGGGGAACACCACTTGTGACCGGTTGCCAGCTGGATTTGACTCCATTCGCCACCACTCTCTGTGCCCAGCCCTCCAGCCAATTCTTTACCCAGCACAGTGTTCCTGTCCAAGCCACGGGCTGCCAGCTTCTCCAGGAAAAT